GAACCGCCATCATCACTCCTTTCGGTCTTTACGAATTTCTACGAATGCCTTTTGGTTTAAGAAATGCTGCTCAAACCTTCCAAAGGTTTATAGACGACGTCTTCCGAGGTGTCAATTTCGTACATGCGTATGTTGATGACCATCTAATAGCAAGTCCGGACAGAGAATCACATCTCAAGCATCTGGACATTGTTTTCGATCGACTCCAAAGGCATGACATTACTGTAAACATTCAGAAATGCCAAATCGGAACTAACTCCTTAGACTTCTTAGGACACACTATTAATGCTCAAAACATCCGACCCCTTAGAAGCAAAGTGGCGGCCATTCTGGATTACTCAGAACCGACCACGATCAAACAGTTGCGAACTTTTAAAGGACTTGTAAGTTTCTATAGACGGTTCATACCCAAATGCGCATCCCTAATGAAACCGTCAACCGATCAGCTTCGTGGAAATGCAAAATCAATTAGTTTAGACGACACAGCCCGTAAAGCATTCTCCACAGTTAAGGAACACATCGCTAAAGCAACCCTGCTTGCTCATCAGGACACTCAAGCGCCCATTAGTATCGCCGTAGACGCGTCCGACTCAGCAATCGGAGGAGTCTTACAACAATGGGTTAACAACTCGTGGCAACCTTTAGGATTTTTCTCGAGACGGTTGTTAGACGCGGAATCTAGGTACAGCACGTTCGGTAGGGAACTCCTAGCTATGTATTGTGCTGTACGGCATTTCCAACATTCCATCGAAGGAAGAGAATTCACGCTTTTTACCGATCACAAACCTCTTACCTTCTTAATTTCATCTTCAGACAAGTACTCACCGCGAGAGTCTCGACAACTGGACTACATTTCGGAGTTTACTTCAGACATACAACACATTTCTGGAGCTAACAATGTAGTCGCAGACGCCTTGTCTCGAATAAGTTCCTTGAACAGTTTCCAAGGAATCGACCTTCTTAAACTCGCTCAGCTTCAAAAAGAAGACATTGATCTTCGGCATGAGTTATCCTCGACAACTCTTAAACTGCGTATTAAGCAGATGGGAACAGGTAAGGAAACCTTACTCTGTGACACATCTACAGGTAGGGATCGTCCAATAGTACTAAAACATTATCGACGCAACGTCTTCAATACGTTGCACAATCTTTCTCATCCAGGTGCTCGTGCAACTGTCAAACTTATAGCCGAACGCTTTTGTTGACCTGGCATGAATAAAGACGTGAGGGAGTGGGCACGCTCCTGTGTAAGCTGTCAGAAACCTAAGGTCATAAGACACAACAAATGTCCCTTAGGTTCTTTCAAAACCCCTGACGCTCGTTTCGACCACGTCCATCTAGATTTGGTAGGATCCTTACCCGACTCAAACGGATACTCATACCTCTTAACATGCGTAGACCGTTTCATTCGATGGCCAGAAGCAGTACCGATTAAGAACATTACCGCTGAAACCGTGGCCCGCGCTTTCGTCGAACGATGGGTAGCAAATTTCGGCTGCCCTTCAATCATCACTACAGACCGTGGACGCCAGTTCGAATCTGGACTTTTCCGTTGTCTGACCTCACTTTTGGGAATCACGCGCTTCCGAACGACCGCCTACCACCCACAAGCAAACGGGTTGGTAGAACGTTTTCATCGACAACTAAAAGCTTCATTATCAACTTCAAACATTTCACAGTGGACAGACACTCTTCCACTCGTCTTGCTAGGTATCCGGAATTCAGTGAAAGCTGACATTGGATACACGGCATCTCAACTCGTTTACGGAACGACACTCCGACTCCCGAATTCGTGGATCCTTCGTCTTCTTCATTGAACATGGATCTAAACTCTTACACGAGTAAGTTTTCAAACGCAATGCGTTCAGTTAAACCTGCTCACACTCGACCTCAATCAACTGATGTTTTCGTTCAACCCGAATTACGACATAGTACACACGTCTTCGTTCGTCGAGACTCACATCGACGACCTCTCGAATCAGCATACAAAGGACCCTTCAAAGTTCTTCAACGCGAACCTAAATACTATGTAGTCGATAAGAACGGTACGAACGATAGCATCAGTATCGATCGACTCAAAGCAGCGTACTTAGAAGGAAACCCTAGCTACGTGGATTTTCCTTCGGTACAAGCAAACGACACAGCTACTACACCTGTAGTACCCCACACAACAACCGACACACAACTTGATACTTCGTCAACGTCGATAGATAAACCTAAAACAACGCGTTCTGGAAGACGAGTAAGATTTCCAGAACATCTTAACGAATATTGCACGTAGGACACAGGTTTTATCTTGAATTACCATTTCATTGTTTATTATAAAAATTTCTTTTATATGCTCATTTTTTTTATATATAAAAAAACCAAAAAATTTTTTCAGATCGCTCTTACGCTGTTTGTAAGTGTATTAGTTTATTAATTTTTTCCCCGCTCATCTTGTGTCCTTACGCGAGTACGAGTGTATTTTCGACATGCACTCACAAGTTTTATTTTTCCTCTTTTCCAGGACGGCTGGAAAAGAACGACGAAGTTTCCCAAGGAACCGAAATTTTCATTGTACTATATTTCTTTATTGCTATGTTGTACATTTTGGTCCCATAGTTTAAGGAAAGACGACCAGACGCTGCTAAACGAAGCAAGCTATCAGAAGAGTGTTTACCAACGACAAACTCGTTGGGTTTAAACTTCTGGCTGGTCACGTCTTAGGGGCATCACTACCTCACTAGAAGGGGAGTGATCTGTAGCTGTAAATAATTCCCCAAAATCAATAGCTCATTAAGCGTTCGACATTGGATGCTAATCACGTTGTTTAAGTAGACTTGTTTAGCTGAAGGCTTTCGGTAATGCGTCCGTACTAGATCACATTGCAACACGGCGTGGGACACAGCTCCTACGTTACAATAGCCAGTTAAGAACGAAGTCTCTCGATATATTGGTAATGAATCAAATATATCTTTCCTGTCTCTTCTCGTCTGACTTCTGGTTTCTATTTGACTGGGAACAAACGATTATAGAAGATACTTCTGGTTGCTAGTTGTAAAACTAGAATATCCGTTGTATCCTCAACATATTTCATTTAGTTGCTACGAAGTCGATAACAAACGTTAAATGCTAATAAATGATAAGCACTCAATCATGATAGCTTTCTGTGAAACTTGGATTACAAAGATATGATCGATAGCAAACATTCCCTTGATAGCTGTCAGCTGTTTCATAGTGATAGATGTGATACTGTGTATAGTGAAGTCGTGGTTTGTATCTACCTCCCTTAGAGCTCATGAAAATTCGTCCGTCAGGATAAGTCACCTGATGTCTTATGGTCTAGTGTGGAGAGGACTTGTTATTGAATGTTCATGATCGTCTCTCCCTAAAAAATAGCATTTAACTGGTAACCAGTATTGGGGAGTTGATGGGGAAATTCAGCTTTTCCGGAAATGTAACTCAGTGTGCTTGCTAAGGTCCAATGGAAAACCTCTAGTTCGTGGTGATAATTAACGTTGACATATTTTGTAATTAGTTTTTGTTATTACTCGCATTCATTCATACTCCCTAAGGCTTATTTTGACCTTATAACTTATTCGCTTATTAACCCTGACCATTTTCATTTGATCGTGTGTGTTGATCGCCTTCCCTAATCGTTATTTGTTTGTAACTTACTATATATATAACTTACTATAAATATTGAGTGATGCTTGATTAAATTGAGTTGGCTCATTTACCTTTTCCGTTAAGCGTCCATTCGTTTCTTTTTCATCGCCTTGCCTCCTTCGCTGCGTTTCTCAGTCTGTCCGTTCAGATCAATGAGTGTACGAAATATACGAGTTCGAAATCCATTATAGTAGTTGATTAATTTTCTTCCGTAATTCCCTAATGCTATTTAGGTCTATAGATATATAAGGGGGTTGTAGGAATGTATATTTCGATAACAACCAGGGTCACTAGCGGTCTCGACCAGATACCCACTAATTAAGGGTATATTAGTCTTGAACCATTTTGGATTAAGCAATCATCCCCTCACATCATCCTGTCACCCTGTGAGTTACCAGACGAGTGTATCTAATGCAAACAACTTTCAAAAAACTAACTACAGTGCTTTCAGGACAGACCTTGTGAAAGTATCCTGAGTACGTGAGCTTGACTCAGTTGATATGATCGAATGGTCGGACCCTATAAACACTTTTCAGTTTATTAGTCGACACACACATGTCCTGGTTTGGGATTCCTTAACAGCACACAGTCCTTACAGTGGGCTGCTAGCTAAGGGACTACGGCCCACTTGTTCCAACTCTGTTACATCTCTATCCAATGGCTCATACTTCATCCTTTCCTACGTTGACCTAGGCAGATTCTGAAAAAACCAAGGGGATTCTGAGGCACGTGGACCTATAAATCTTTTAGGGTGGATGAACTCTGACCTGAAATTCTAGAAGGATATATGGATCCACTTTGTTTCCTGCCTGTCCCTTTCTTCAAGTGTCTGTTATTCTGCTACCCTACGAATAGAAAAAAGATGTCTTTATACCCGTCACAAAAGAAGCTATCCTGATGAAAGACTAAAGTTATCGACCGATTTCCTCAGACTGTACGGAAGTAGAGGTCTTGGGGAGAGTTTTGAATGAATCCTTCCATAATCATAGGCCGGATAATTCCTTGGTTTCCGACTTGCCATATGGCTGTCTCTCTAGGAGATCACGGAATAAAAACCTACTGACTGACTAGAATAGCAAATAGGCCTTCTAAACTTTTCTAAAGCACTCAGAGGCGTTGAAAATTGAATACTCTGTCCAAAGCAAAGACTAACAGCCATTAGTGTGTGCCTAATGAAATGACTCGTAGATTACTTTCACTGTTCTCTGGTTTCAGTATAGGTATAGCAAGAAATATAACTCTTTGTTATCAACAAACTATTTTAATATCGAGACTCATATCCAAAGAAGCAGAAGGTCTGCTAATGCCGTTAGGTAAAGTTTGGGGTTTGAACGATGATTATCGAAACATTAGTTGCGGGTCTGACAGATATGGCGGTACTTCGTTAGCTTTGTTCCATCTGCAGAGTTTACTTCACGAGTAAGTATAAAGACTAATCCCTGTCATTGTGAATTAACTAACATTCATAATTTATAAGTTTTACAACCTCCACCTCTATAATTTGGGTTACTCAATGAAACATTTTCCAAACTTTAAACGATCAGTTCTGGGAAATGTGTACTCGGAGTATGTAAAAAATACTAAATAGAGAATTACGTACTAGTATTTCAATCTTTGAGGTTATTGAACCAAAAAAGACTTCACATTTAAATCAATGGGAGTTTTGAAATGCTGACATTTTCCCATGTAAACCTGTGAATTTGTATGCTAGTGTTTTCAATATCTTTGTTACGAGCTTACATAAATCGGTTGATTTGGTATGAATCAGTTCGTTCCCCCTTCATTTAGATTAAGAGGCTTATTGTATTGCAGGGCGTGAACATTAAGGTGTTTCAAATGGTTGTAAAGGAAGTTAAGTTGGCGCGTTTGTTCTGAAGAACTTCGGAAAATTTACACAGATCATTTTTGTCCGTGGTGGATTTTGAAATTTCGCTTTTCATAAAGAGTGAAAGGTATGGCTTCAGTCCGTTTGACCTACTATGTCGAGTATCTAGCTACTTTTGGTCCTTCCCAATATTTGTGTTCTGATTGAAGTAAATATTTCAGGGGAGAATCAATGGTGTTTGGGATATTTCGGGTCATCGCCAAGTCTCCTATACTTTGAAGGGCACCAAATCGGTATTTTCAGGCTTTCGTTGTGGGATTTGGACTTAAGACCACGAAATGATTTCGCAGCTAGTCTTTGTTTATGCTCCAAAGTATTCTTATCCTTTTGGAATATGGGATGAAACATTTCTTATTGCTCTACGTGGGTCCGAATACAGCTATTAAAAATCAAATAAAGAATCTTACTATTAAAATGTCCAAAATGCTCTTCGTAGTTACTAGTGAAAGGTTGATTCAGAAAGCGCTTTTATCACAGCATATGATTTTATATAATAGGGATCAAGGTATGCCTAAATTATCTTTTACTAAAAAAACTTGTGATAGAAAATTGCTTAGGTTGTGTGCGTAGCTTGCGCCATGCTGTTGAAAGTTAGCCCATTGTTGCCCTCCTAGTTTTAAAGTCGGGTCAGTTTATCCTGAAGTCTTTCCGGACACCACCTGAGGTTGCAAAATCGGATGACAGTTCGCCATAAGCTCTGACTCGGCTGGTAGTGTTCGAGTAAAGAGCCTTCACAACGTCTATGTACTTCTGAGGTACGCCTTTCAATAACAAACACTGCCACAGAACCTCTCGGTCTACAGAGTCAAATGCTGTTTTTTTAAGTCGAGAAAAACCATCGTTGTCGAACGCCGATAAACATGTCTGTGTTCTAAAACCTGACGAATAATGAATATGTGGTCGATACAGCCGCAACCTTACCTGAAACCAGCCTGATTTTCTCGTGTTTGCAGTTCACGAGTCTTAGTTAGGCGCCTGATAATTATTGAGGCTAGTATTTTAGATGCTATGTTAGTGAGACTAATCCCTCTATGTTTATCACAGGGTGACTCGAACACTACCAATCGAGTGAGAGCTTATGGCGAACTGTCATATGATTTTACAACCCCAAGTGGTGTCCGTCAAGGCTGTCTACTATCCCCATTTTTGTTTAACTTCATTATAGACCTGTTGCTGGAAATAACACTCGTCGACTGAATTTTCAGGAATTGATCTTCTACCAGGAGGTTCACTTATAGACTTAGAATACGCAGATGACATAGTCCTGTTTGGTGAAGACACTGAAAAAATGCAGTCTTCTGTTAGAACTGTGTAATAATGCCAGGATGTTTGGGATGCGTTTCTCCCCATCCAAATGTAAATTGTTACTCCAGGACTGGCCTTCGTCAACACCTGAACTAAGGATAGGGAGTGAAGTAGTCGAACGCGTCGACAACTTCACTTATCTTGGAAGTCTGATCAGCCCTAATGGGTTGGTGTCTGACGAAATCTCAGCACGGATTCAAAAAGCTCGTTTGGCTTTTGCCAACTTACGTCACCTATGGCGAAGACGAGATATCCGTCTATCAATTAAGGGACGAGTATACTGAACAGCAGTTCGTTCTGTTTTACTCTATGGCTGCGAAACATGGCCATTAAGAGTAGAAGATACTCGTAGGTTACTAATATTTGACCACAGATGCCTTAGAAATATTGCTCGCATCTGCTGGGATAACCAAGTAAATAATAGTGAGGTTAGACGCAGGGTATTAGGGAATGATGGTAAATCAGTTGATGAGGTGATGAATCTTCATCGACTGAGATGGTTGGACCACGTGTTACGTATGCCTGAACACAGAGTACCACGACGCGCAATGTTGACTAGTGTAGGGGATGGTTAGAAGAGAGTTAGGGGCGGCCAAATTAAAACGTGGCATCAGAGCTTGAAGTCACTAACTTCTAGTCTGAACCATGTTGGTAGATGCAGACTACCTGGTTGGGGTCCGCGTGACTATCGTAACCAATGGTTGGAGACTCTGGGTGACATGGCTCAGAATCGATCACAATGGCGCAGGTGTATACACTCTTTATCTTCCCTTAAACCTTGAGATTAAAATTGCTTCATAACTTTTTTCCTTCCTATACTATATCCTTCTATACAACCTTTCTTTATATACTACCACCACTAAATTAATTACTTCTATGAATTTGGTGTTGATCTTGTTGTGCTAATGAGGTATGGCAACTTGGACCGATGCATATATGTGCCTGGTCCTGCGTTGTCGCTGACTGACTGACTGACTATCACAGGATGGTTTGGATCTCTTATTATATATTGGGACGATCAGTGATTGCGACCAGTCTGATGGGATTACGTTCAGTTCCCAGATTTCAGCTAAAATATCAATAAACCTAATCGTTAAAACTGGACCACCATTCTTAACGACCTCTGGAGCTAATCCATCTGGACCAGCTACTCTTCCCCGTTCCAGATTAGCTATGGCTTCTTGGACTCCAGCTAGAGTCGGGGGATCAAATTCAATGTCCCATCCAGGCTATTTGGGAATGGTGGGTAGTTGTAGAGTAGCTAAAGGCTAGCTGGACTGCTCCTTAAAGTGTTCCGCTCATAGTTGTAAACGCCTGGACTGAGAGCAGATAGGTGTTTTTTTCCGATATGGTCTCATACTTGACTTCTTAATTCAAGTTTCTTTTATTAGTGTGAAAAGCTGTCTCGTGTTGCCTACAGCCACTGTCTTTTCCATCTCTTTCGCTTTCGTCGCCCACCAATGCTCACGATCGTTCCTTGGATTTTTGGATAATCGAGATCTGATTTGTTTTCACTCTTCATCATGTTCGGAACATGATGGGATGAGTTTACGAGAGTTTATTTGTGCACTAGACTTGGCAGAAATCCACTGGTTTTTAGTGACCATTTGGTTTAAATCTCTAATAGATGTCACTTCTGTTTCCACAGCTGTTTGCACATCTTCTCAAGCAACATCTGGGTCAGCCTCGTTTTCAAAATTGCCTAAGTGCGACGTCAGTTGTTACTGGAATATATTTTTTCCCTTCCTCGTTACTGAGTTCAACTCTAATGGGTCTTCTGAATGTTGTTTTTCTGCGTCGAGTGAGGCTCAAGCAAACGCGTGATCGTATTAGAGAATGATCAGAGTCTAAACATGTACTCCAGGAAGAGCGGCAGTCTTTTGTCGAGCCTTTCGAACGATGGCTGATGTCAATATGGTCTTTTTGAATCCATCGTTGGTATGGTGCAGAGGGTCGCCATGTTGGACGATGTATCTCCTTATGCTTGAAATTAGTGTTTGTTAAAAATAGACGATTGCCTGAGCACAGTTGCAGCAGACGGTCACCATTGTCTGTTCGCTCAGCCGGAATACCAAAACACCCACTTAAATGTCTCTGTTTGGTTCAGGTTACTTACTTGAATATTAAAGTCACCTGCTATGAGTTCTTACGGAGCCGTTCATCGGAACAGCACATAGGCGATTGTTGACACAGATCCGTTACAACGGTGCCTGTTATGCCCTCGTACTTAGTGCTATGCCTACACCTGCCAGTCTTCGAAAACTAGTCATTGAGTCCCCATATGAATGGAGGTTGTATCTCGCTGGCTCCACGTTTTGGCAAGGTGAGCTTAAGTGAATAACCACACTAGGATTTTGTATGCGTGTTTCAGAGACACAGCATATATCAATGGTACGAGATTCTGGAGTTTTAACCAAGGAGACCTGCTGGTCGATTTGACTTGGGGTGCGTACGTTGAAGGCTCCAATGTGTAGTTTGGAGCGATGTTACAGTAGACCTGGGACAGTGTTTTGCGCACTAGAATCGTTGGCCATGGTGACACTTGTTGAGGAAGTCAAGAGAAAATTTCGGGTTGAAAGTCGATGTAGGAGGGATAATAGGAATTGAAGAGGGAGATTGATTGTGAATACAGTGAGCTTGAGTGCTGTAAGAGGTATGCCCTGGTACGGCCGAGAGTGGGAAGAGTCCGCTCTCCCTCTCGAAATACTCTCACATGGTCACGCGTATATAGCCTCTGCCAGGGGGTTCCTACTCACTGCCTTCTCGTGGCGGGGGTGTTGTTTACGAAAGTGAGAGGACGAAAAGCGAATGTCCGGCGCTTTAATCGGGTTGGTGGACACGGTGAGTCCACCTAGGCGAGTTGGAAAATTCGATTCCAAACCTATGGTGAAGTACTACAAATTCACTCTCCATCTGTCGCCTCAAAAGGCTTGCATTATATGCGTTTATCCAGGGACCTTGTGGCATCTTCGTCTGGTCTTGCTGGCGTTGGTGTCGCACTAGGCGCTAGAGCTGAGGCAGCACTAATCGATTGGATCCCCATTAACAGTCGGTTATGTGCTGTTAGATTAGAAAGTTCCATCAACGTGTGAAGGAACCGGCGTGAAAACGGTGTCCTTTCGTCATCTCCGTCTATGCCCAGACAGATTGCAGCCCGGATGCAATCAAGGATGAGTTTTACCACCAGTCAACAGTTCCTCTCCGCGTGACTATCGTAATAAATGGTTGGAGACTCTGAGTGACATGGCTCAGAATCGATCACAATGGCGCAGGTGTATACACTCTTTATCTTCCCTTAAACCTTGAGATTAAAATTGCTTCATAACTTTTTTCCTTCCTATACTATATCCTTCTATACAACCTTTCTTTATATACTACCACCACTAAATTAATTACTTCTATGAATTTGGTGTTGATCTTGTTGTGCTAACGAGGTATGGCAACTTGGACCGATGCATATATGTGCCTGGTCCTGTGTTGTCGCTGACTGACTGACTGACTCTTCTCCAGAAAGCGCGTTCGACAGATATTGTAGTATTAGCCGGAGACTTGAATGCACAGGTCGGGCGTCTAGGTACAGAAGAGAGTCGTTTAGGTGGCCGATGGGGACTTGTTGGTCGCAGGACAGATAACGGGGACCGTCTACTGCAACTGTGCACAGACCACAACCTGTTTCTGGCTAGCACTAACTTCCGACACAATCATCGCCGGTGTGCCACCTGGTGTCCTCCCTCTGCATCTCAAGCCTGGACTCAGATTGATCACAACGCGATCAGCTACCGCTGGCGTGGTTGTGTACAAGACTGTCGCTCCTTTTGGAGTGCCTATCTGGAGTCTGATCATGCCCTGGTCTGTGCCAATCTCACCTTACTTTTCAGTGGCCGAAGGATTGACCGCCATCAACGGATCGATGTTAGTAAACTGGCTGCAACTTCTGTTGCGAGTAAGTATCGAGCCGAGCTAGCTTTTATGCTAGCTACCATCCCACCGAAAAGTATAGATGAGCATTGGTTGCAACTTCATGACGCCATGAGAATGGCGAGTAAAGCCGCTTGCAGCTTCGCGAAACGTCCCGCTTATAAGCACTTGGTTTCTTCTGGCTCCTTACAACTGATCGAAGCCCGTCGATCTACTCCAATTGACCTTGAGTTTGACCACAAACGAAGGCTGTTACGTAATGAAATTGGGCAAAGCTTGCGTAAGGACCGAGAAGCCTGGTGGTCGGAGCGTGCTAATGAGCTGGAGGCAGCAGCTGCATCTGGTAACTTCCGGAAGCTCTTCCAACTCATCCGAGCCACTGGCAGCTAGAAGTCTGGTGTGAGTGAAACAATCTACGAGGATGACGGGATGCCAATCACTAACATCTGTCAACGTCTTGGACGATGGGTGGAATTTTTCGAAGGGCAGTTCAACTGGCCTGCTGCTCTGGCAACATCAAGCAGTTTGTCCTGCCCCCCATGGCCGGTGACGACTGATCCACCAAACGAGGCAGAAGTCCGCAAGGAACTCCAACTTTTGAAACGCTACAAATCACCGGGCCCAGATGACTTACCTCCGGCTCTTTTTTGAGATGGTGGTGACTTTCTGGTTAAGGAACTGACAACGTTGTTTACAAAGGTCTGGGAGCTAGAGAGTGTTCCAACATCATGGAACGAGTTGATAGTTGTCCCTATCTTTGAAAAAGATTCTCGTTGTTTCTGTGACAGCTATCGTGAGATAAGTCTACTTCCGACTGAGTCCAAACCATTGGCTTCTGTCATAATTCGTAGATTGTTTAAAACCCGAGAAAGATTGACTCACGAGGAACAGGATGGTTTTCGTTCTGGTCGAGGATGAATCGATCATATCTTCACCTTCCGCCAAATGTTAGAGCACCGTCATACTTATCACAGGTGTTTCTTGATATCAGGGCTGCCTTCGATTCGTTGGACAGGACTGTTCTCTGGGATTGTCTATTGAAGAAGAGTGTGCCTGAGAAGTTTATTAACATCTTAAAGGCCCTGTACACGAACACCTCAGTCAGACTGAGGGCATACAACCACCTTTCTCCACTGTTCCATTCAAGCAGTGGGGTTAGACAAGGTTGCCCGATCTCACCATTCCTCTCCAACTTTGCCATCGACGACGTTCGGGAAACAACTGTGATAGATGTAAGTAAAGGCAGTGTGAATCTGTTGCCTAAAGAAAGACTACTCGACCTTGAGTATGCGGATGATATTGTCTTACTGTGCGATAATACCCAAGGCATGCAATCCGCACTTAATCAGTTGGCAATCAGTATCCGCAGGTACGGCATGTGCTTTGCACCCTCCAAGTGCAAAGTACTCCTACAAGACTGGCAGGATTCTAATCCTGTGCTCACCCTGGATGGTGAGCAGATTGAAGTAGTTGAGAAGTTCGTGTATCTAGGTAGCTATATAATTGCTGGTGGTGGCGTGAGTGATGAGATTGATGCACGTATAAGGAAAGCCAGAGTGGCTTATGCCAATCTGGGCCGCCTTAGGCGCCTTCGTGATGTTAGTCTGGCTGTAAAAGGTCGGATTTACAACGCGTCGGTGAGAGCAGTTTTGCTCTATGCTTTTGAAATCTGGCCTATCCGAGTTGAGGATGTTAGACGTCTCTCTGTGTCCGATCATCGTTGTCTCCGAAGGATTGCTGACATACAGTGGCAACACCATGTTAGTAATGCAGAGGTTCGGCATCGTGTGTTCGGGCGCCGAGACGATAATTCAATTGGTGTCGCCATCTTGAAACACCGACTTCGGTGGCTTGGACATGTTCTACGAATGTCGTCCCAGTGACTTCCACGTCGTGCATTATTTGCCGACTCTGGGACTGGTTGGAAAAAGCGGAGAGGAGGTCAGTGTATGACATGGTATCGTGGCATGAAAGAAAGCTGCAAAGGACTAGCTTCTGTTGGTCCTTCACGACTCCCTGGCTGGAGTCCAAGAGATGGTGCAGCACAGTGGCTAGAGACGTTATCAGATATGGCTCAGAATAGAAGCCAGTGGCGATTCTGCTGTAACCTTCTTCTAATTTCTTCATAAAGAGTGGTTCTAACTTTCTTAACTGAAAGAGTCTTCTGGTTGTACATCTCATTCCGCCTTATCTTTTCATCTCTTCTCTTCCTACTTTCATTATTTTGTGTGGCGCATATGTATCTGGTGCCCTTTGTACCAATATGTATGTGTTTAAATAAAAAATAAAAAAATTTCTAACAGTATTTAGCTTCTGTTAGCAAGGATTTCCAGTGTTAATAGTTGGTAAATAGTCTCAAGGTATTAAATCGTAAATATATACAAAGTAGCCTTCAATCAGAGAAGGCCATTACATGAAATTATGACATGGTGGGATAGTTGCACTTTGAATAGTTGAGGAATTAATTTAAATATGCCAATTAAATCGTGAAACAATTTATTCAGAGAAGGAATCCTTTTTAATCAGTTCATTTTTAAAGCCGTACAATCGTGCCTAAATGTGATAAGTTGTAGGTCAACGAATAATTGTGTATTTTAGATTCGCATTTTCACAATCTTTCAGTTTGTTCTCTAATAATTCTTAATTATTAGTCTCAGTAAGAGCTGATTACCAGCTGTTTCATCATGGCTATTCACGTAATTGGCTATGTTGCGTAAATAGTAAAAGAAACTACTTCGTACTCTATGATCTTTGCCATTAGAGCTTTTGTAGGGAACTCTCGAAAATATTGAGCCAAAATTCATTGTCAGATAGTATTTTAAGTAGTTCTCATAGTTATGGGTAGATCATCAAACTAAATCTTATTAGGTTTTATGATTGTGATGTCACTTTTTGCTGTCGTGAATACAGTTACAGTTACCAGTTACTCTATATCTTTTCTATTTTTATTTCCACTAGTTATCAACTTCAGGATGATCCACTCGAATTAGTTTTACTCTTTACAGGACATGGAGTTTACTGTCGAAAAACTAAGGCGTCTGAAAAATTTATAAATACTGATGGCTATATTTTTTTGAGAAATGTTTTCACTATATTTGATAATAATTCACCTTTCTCGTCTTAAAAGTTCATTAAATGTTTATGCTAGCGAGTTTTACTAGGTATAGAGAAGGAAAATCATTCTCATGGATTATCACTAAGTAACCAGTTATTTATTTATAAAGTCTGTTGTCACAAATATGTTTATTTGATGCGAATTGATATCTTAATTATTTATCTTAGTTATTTGGAACTAGTGGTATGGCCAAATGGTTCCTATTTTTCGCGAAAACTATGAATCAGTTGGTCTTGATCCATTTTTTAATGTTTTTAGTTATGCCTACAGACCAAGTTTATCGAAAATCAGGAAGTCCACAAGCTTCTACTGAGGTTTCTTCTTTGCAGCTGAATCGGACTAAAAACAAAGAAGGTAAATCAATCACTGTTATTAACGCCTCATAATATTTTCAAGCACTTGAGAAAAGCCTTAAGTGCAGACGTTCTGTAAAGGAGTTAGTCAATCAAGGGATATTACTAAATCGTATATTGCGTTTTAATCTAACATTTCTTTCATTGTAGCTTCTATTTCACACCCTGACAAGGTCCGCCAATTACAAAAAGCTAAGGTTTTGTTTACAATCTTTCTAATACATTTTCGTTTCCTTAGACTAGTGATTTATTGAAACGTAAAATTGGACAACGGCCGGACAGACAGTATCTTATCAGTCATCATATCTTAAGGGGTAATGTTTCTCCAGTAATAGTTTATGATTTTAGACGATAAGCCGAGGACTTCACCTTTCATCCTTGAGCAATGTCACAATTTAGAAAAGTCTCAGTTAAAGGAGACGTTGGCCGCGAAGCTTATTTCCAGACCTGGTTCATTGGAGCTAGTTGAGAAAGGGGTTCTGCAGGTAAATCAATGTATTCATAAGGAATTATTTTTGTATTTATTTACATGAATTCAGGTACTCGACGCCGTTTTGGTATCATTGTAATATCTTGTATTATATTCGTCATTTACTTTTAAGTAACATTACACTTTGTCGAAAAAACACCGATAATATCTTTTATGAATGAGTGATAATAAACTTTACAGTGTCTACTTTTTACAATACATTTTTTTTGTATAACTTAAGGATAAGTTTAATCCATTTTTATCTCTATGTCTCGAAGACTGTTCTAGATTCGCAGATCGCAACTATGGTTGATTACTTATATGATTTAAAAACGTCTCAATCGATGTGTAGATTCGATTGTGTAAAAACACTAATATTCAGTGATTAATAAATAAATTCATCTAGATACAAACTAACTTGAGCTAAATTGAATGATATCCTCAGTTTCGACTTTAAATGTCGTATACCTGAATAACAATAAACCTGATTTTCTAATGGGTGAAAATAAATCTTATCAGCTAGCTTTACAAATCTAATTCAGAATCATTCATATAGTTACTAATTGTACAAATTGTTTGTGGGTGAATGAGTGCCCAGCTTCACAAATTAAGGTACTTATAGAAGTATGGTAACCATGATTATTCATAAAGACAAGGTTAATTATTTTAGATATTTGATAGAACATTAACATTTCCTGTTTGGTGTAATTGTATAATCGTCGGGCAAAATTGTATGTTTTATCTTTTCCTTACTGTTATGTTATTTATTGTTTTGAATATATTCTCCCAACTTTAGGTTGATCCCGGTGTTGATTCACTCATCAAACAAGGTTCTATCCAATATCCTAGGGTTGAGTCTGTTTCATTGGAGAGGATTTCAGGTGAACGACTACAACCTATCCAAGAATTGGTCACGATCCCACCACCTCCTCCACTTTCATCAACTACAAAGACACACTATACGAATTCCGGTCGTGTTGTTTCTGGAAGAAGTCGTTTAATTAATTCGAATAAAACGTCTACTAGTCGGGCAATTCGAGACGACACTGTTGTTTCAAAATTAGGTTCATTGGTTTTTCATCAGTATTGTCCAGACTCATCGAGTTCATCTTCTCCAAGCCTAGCTAACGTCTCATCCTTTCAACAAAAACAACGAGTTCGGGAATTACAGCAGGTTGAAATGTTACGTCTCCAAGATACTGCACGTGTTCATCGTCTAGTCGAACAAGAGTTATGTGAGCGCGTAAGTACATGTAGAAAGCCACTACATGAAGACACATCCTTCATGGATATAACTCCTAACTCATTTAGTAATCAAACGAATAGTCAACTAGCATTATCCTGCACTTCCAGTTCAATGTCATTGCAGGTCCCTCCAACCCCTTCAAACTCAATAGTTTGTTCTAAGAACCAGATTGGTTTAAGTAACCAACGGACTGGCTCTTCAAAAACACTATCATTGGAATCTAATTTTAACTTACCTAGTCTTGCTCATCTTACTCTCACTCAACTTAAAGGGGAATGTAAGGACAGAAATTTACCTCGTGCTGGTTCTAAAATGCAGTTAATGCGCCTGTTAAATCCATATCGCCGTGAAATATTGGTAAAATATTTTCCTAATTCTGTAATGAAACAGAGTGAAGAAATCGAATCGGGGATAGATGGATCTCGTCAGTTTCATAATGTAAATCAAACTCAGTCTTTCGTAAAACGTCAGGACCAGCATCAAAAACGTTTGGTGAATTCTGAGCAACCTATGATGGATATGGACGTCAACTTAAAAGATTTTGACTCATCACTACTATCTCAAACCAAACCTATGAATTTATGCACTACAGTATTTTCTTCAGGATCCACAATGCCAAAAGATTTACAAGTATACTCCGATGTCGTTATGAGACCAGATAGTTCCAATGTGCTATTTGCTCAACCTTGTGTCTCATTAAGACATTCTGTTTCTGCACCATTCTTTCCGGAAATTTCGTCTAACTCGTCCTCAGGTGGGTTTACTTTTTCCACTGTGGAGTAAAAAAATCTGAGGGTTATTTGTAATGTACCAAAATTACTGTCCAGAATACTTTAGGGATAATAAGTTACTTCAGTAGTGATATTTTATTTTATTCCATATCTTTAGTTTTTGTGAACACGAAACCGTTTCTAGAGAAACGGTGCAACGATGCAATTTAGTACTAATTTCTATGTTCCTGCATCAGCTTTAACTCATGCCTATTTTAGTAGGAGGGCTAACACTATTACTTTACTGCTTAAAATTTATTAGAAAACATGGGATTCGAACTCATAGAGTTAATTACTGGAGTCAGTTTGTTTCATCATTTGCATGTCCTCTATTGCATTAACGCAAATGCTAAACTGTAAGAATTTTTTAACTTTTAATATACCCATATGGAGAATATTAGAAGCTTGATATTTTCAAACTTTTAAAACTCTATGTATCAGTGTTGCAAAGTACATGAAATATGGATGTACACATTGAATATCAGTGGATTGAATGTAATCTGGATCGCTGATAAGTTACCACTCAATAAGAGAATGTGTTTCTCATAATTTGGGTCTCCGTACTTTTTCTCTAGACATTACCTTTACTTCACCTAGACTGGCTTTCTGAAGAGTTTTGTCTAAAATACCATTAATAATCTTAAACAAGGAAAAATAAGACTAAATCACCATATTTTAGACAAGTTCCTGATTAAAAAGCCTGCTTGTATCTATAATGCAGAAAAACAAACTAAATTTAATGTAATGCAGCAATATATGGGTCTGAGTTATCCACATTTCATTATCGATATAATTAAGGTAAATTGACAAGAAAAGTAACTACCGGTATCGATATTATCAATAACAAGAAATCAAGGAAAAAGACAACGGAAAACAATTCTAAGAGAGGGATAAAAGATTATCGATTATATTAAGATGCTCACTGGCTGAAGTAAAGAAATATAAATGTATCTTTGCCATTGGGTTTAGTCCAAAATCGACCAGCCAATGGCGTCTAATCGTATAGAGTTTTCAGAATTCGGACTTACTTTTTTGGAGCAGATTTGCGTAGAATGAATTTTCAGAAAGTGGCACCATTTAACAAATTATAAACCGATATCTAGGAACAAAAGAATTGATGTGATTTGTTTTTGAAGCTAGAATGAAGTCTATCTTGTTTTCTGTTGACATGTACCTGTGTATTGTTCAGGATGAAATATACGATCATTTAGAAAGTTGAACACCAAAGAAATTTCAATTAACGGTTTGTATGTGTAAAATATTGATAAATGTGGGCACATATCCCATCCCGTATAGAGAATCCCATTTCTCTGCTATTTAACTTTAAACTTTGTTAGATTTCAAGAGTTCTATTATGGGATTCTGTTTTTGTATGTAAGAACGTTAAATGCTTACAAGGAACGTAAGACGATTAATTGTTGCAGAAGAGTTGTTAAGTCGGTTCACAGTATGGTCCATCTAATCCCACAACATATCAGTAATTGTAAGCGGAAATCTTATCAGCCCTAATTATCTCATTTAAACACGATTTCAGTACATTAATTACTAAATATGGTTGTTTAATACTAACGACATGATCACCTAAATTTTTCACCTTGGGATAGATTCTTTCCTTATAAGGTCCTTCACTTAAATGTATTTGGGCTACAATAATTTATGAAATAATTAATGAATGGAATGCCCATCGGTAGATGAATGCGATGATATGATGTAGCTGAGTGATGTCAACCTACGAGAACAAATTCTTGACCTAAACCCTCGGATGATTCAAAATCATAAACAAGACCACTAGCCGGATGAATAGATTTTTCACGTGATGGAATAACATGCTTATATATAAATTTTTAACAGGAAAACATGATAAAATATCATAGGCGATTGAAGGAAATCAACGTATAGGTCATTCATTTCCCGATCAATTAAGACCTGATTTTCTGGTGTCATGTTAGAAATCCATTTTATTAGTATCATCTTTCATATAGATCTATGAAATTGGGACTCAGTGTCCTGGTGCCTGTTATATCCCGATGAGAAGAATGAATGGTAACTGTTGGAATCTATTTCTGGATTAGTACTATACATATATTTTTATTTCATCATTGTTAAATAAGTAGACTATTCGTATTCGTGTTCCTCTTATCATAAGCTTTATTTTGACCTATGAACTATTATTATACGATTTACCATTCTTGAGTTATGTCCAGTCTATCAATTACTGTCTCCCACATTCACAGCCACATTTGACTAAAGCTTGTACAAATGTTATTTTCTATTTTATGGTACGGTGTGGTTTGTTTCGTTTGTATATAAACCCAGTATGCCTGAAATATACGATTCATATCGCAGAGGCTGCTATTGGTGTTCTGGACTTAACAAGCAGGGCTAGGCGGGAAGCTCCCAAATGCCCGGGTACAGCCGAGAGTGGGAAGAGTCCGCTCTCCCTCTCGAAATACTCTCACATGGTCACGCGTATATAGCCTCTGCCAGGGAATTCCTACTCACTGCCTTCTCGTGGCGGGGTTGTTGTTTACGAAAGTGAGAGGACGAAAAGCGAATGTCCGGCGCTTTAATCGGGTTGGTGGACACGGTGAGTCCACCTAGGCGAGTTGGAAAATCCTGATTCCAAACCTATTGTGCACATGGGCTCCAGTATCCTGAAGGAACAAGGGGCTTATGAACCAATTGTTGGTCATCGGCTACCATGGGACTGCATCTCCTCACGATGCTCCACTGCCTTGTGGATTAGACCTTTAGGTCAAAGGCTCGGGTGTGGCCCCCTAAGAAAACTACCTGCTTCGGTTTGGGCACCCGGGCAGTATCACAGCTCTCAGACAAATCAAATGAGGTTTGTGCGGCGCATATATATCTGGTGCTTCCTTGTACCAATATTTGTGTTTAAATAAAAATGAATAATAATAATAGGCAGGAAGCTAGGACCTATAAGGACTCTAGACTGCTCGTACGGGTTTTATGCGTCATTGGTCCGGTCTATAATTACTGTACTTTAATTAATGACATCGTCACGTCATATATTGATTGGAGCACAAACCCACAAGGTATAACAGTGCCATTTTATATAAATAGTCCATGACACATTTTGAACATCTAAATGAAATCTAATGGCGGAGTCAATTTCTCACAGGTTTTGCATAGTTTATGTAATTTGACAGCGAACAATATCTTGGATAGTCAGTATGTCTCAATAATTTGCACCCATAGTTTGTAGATTCTTAAGAATTATCCCAAGTCAACGGATTCATTATAAAGTGATATAGCACTCTTAGACTATCATAACTTCGTAAAAAATAGGGAATTCGGGTAGACGGAATTCGTTTAACAACAAAGCTGTTTCTGGATATCCATAGTTTCATTTTTATTCGGATAAATTATCTTCATGGCAGAAATTATTGAGACTCCTTTTTATTCCAGCCAATTTTTTCTTGATGTACGCATTAGTTTCAAAATTATTTCTGTCAGCAAAGTCAACTTAGCCAAACGTATTCAGGGATTTAGTTATTCAGTAAAGTGTGATCGTCTGTAATTATTGTGTGGAAAAACCCAAACTGAAATTTACTTTTTGATGGCTTTTGTCTCATATTAGTTGGTGTATGGTTTTTGTCCAACCTTGAAATAGTTTTGTTATTTTGGTATCCAAAATCGATTTTTTTCCTCACAGTGCAACCGTTTTTTTAGTCTTTTAAAAATGTTTTTGTCATTCTATGATAGGACATACAACTCATTTTCAAATTCCTTCTACACAAGGTAATATATCTTCGACAACTTTAATACCGGTTACTTTCGTTAATGACAATACAATGAATGAATCAGATCAAATTTCACAAATTCCTGTCTCATCATTTGAATTACAGTTTGTCCAAACTACATCAAAACAATCATTTGTATGCGTGACCCCAAATGTTCTTCCGGACAATAAAACATCATCTAATGCAGATTTTGATCGTCAAAATGGAAATCTTATAAATCATCATCCATTAACTAGTATTCCGTCATCAGAATCTGGTTATATTATCACTTCAAATCAGCATCTCCCATTATCCTTATCTATAGATAATAGCGTGTCATCACCATACAATGAATCACAGACTATGCATCATACTTCTGTAAATAATTCACTTGATAATCAATCATTTTCCGTATACTCACCGGTAGCATCATCAAATCCTACTGGTGGTGAAAGTGGCGGCGATGGTTGTACTGGTTTTTCAACACCATCGACGACACTTCATCAAATTGAAGAGATGTGGTTAAGGATTCGTCAGTTGAGACGTAATATTGAACAGGTAATGTTCGAAATGCAAGTACTTAACTCTGTTCTCTTTTTTCCTCTTTCTATTAATTTCTCCATCGATGTATAAACAGACGACCAGTATATATATATATATATATATATATATATATATATATATATATATATATAATGTGTGAGTTTTTAGGTAAACTAAATGAATTTATTGATATATTGGAAAGAGAAAGCATTCCTTCAAAGCTATCACCACAATAATAAACCTAATACCTTGTTATTAGGTCCTTGTTTTATACTACATGGAATGAGTTGATTAATAATAATTTTGATCCATATCGTAGAATAGTTTTCCTGGACTGAGTCGAATAATATTTTCGTTGTATCTAAATAGCCTTAAGGTACTGAGATTTATAATATGGAGGTTGAATTATAGCGTAGGTTTTTAGTTGATTGATGCAGACTGTGATTTCCCTCTGTTTTAAATCAGTCACTAGCAATGAGTATGATAGCCAATATACAAAATCATGTACTAGGCTGTGTTTAATATTTTACAACTATTTAGGTTAAAGTAGATTGGCGGATAACTGAATCGTTAGCTCCAGTGATTGTGAATCGAGTATTAGTTGGACCGATTATTGTTAAGGTGATCAACTTCTGATACAACAGCTTCGCACGTTCAGTGGAAAGATAATCCAGACAAACTGATTCTCAGCTTTTTCACCACGTGATGCTCGCAGACGTTTTTAAAAGATGATTAGTTTCTGTTATCAACTAACCTTGTGAAATAAATACTAGAAGTTTCTTACTTAATTTTGTATATATATTTGTGGTTTCAGTTCTATGATGTTCCGAAATATGTGTTTTATTTAGGTTTACTTTTGTCTTGAATTCTACTGACCTGAATTAAGACAGGTAGATATGCATCGATCCAAGTTGTCACATCACACATCAGCATAATATGAGAGGAAAAAATTAACAAAATGTATAGCGCAGAAGTAAAGGTAACGATAGCTTTATCTATGGTATAGTTTAAAAAGAAACTGCTGTTCTATTAAAAAAAAATTAACAGATTTACTTCTTACGTACGAACAATGCTGTTGGTTTTTTTCCGATTATATTTACTGATCAGTGTTTTATGCATAAAAATGATTGTTAGTATAGTGTATTTTCTAACTGATCCATCAATCAACATGTATATTCATTGCATTTAATGAATAAATCGGGTCATGTATTTAAATTTAGACGCCAGTTTGTATTTATTTTTAAGTACTTTTCCCAAGACTTTTACATACTTCAAAGATAATTCGTTGTCAGGAACTTATATCATTCAAATAATCATTGGAAACCAGTGACCAACAAATAGATCAGTCGTTATAGTTCAGCATAGGACAGTGCTGGACACAAGCAAACACGCCAAACCACAGCTTATCTAGAAGTACAATGTTAAGTGACATAAGGGTTGGTTAGAATAAACTAAGAATGAACGAATCAAGATATAACATCAATTTATGGAATCATTTGTTGCTGATCTAAGCAATATCAAACGGATCTAACGTATTAGTTACAGTCAATGATTAAAAACATCAAGTGATATGGCACAAAATTGTTTACAATGGTACAACCGCAATTAGTTTATATGTTTCTCTAAATCTTGAGTTTACTGTCATTCCTGACTTTCTGTTCTTCGATTTCATTTATTTCTTTTTAACTGAATTTCTCATGTTTAGATTTCCACGTTTTCTGATTCTATTTCCTTTCTTATGTTTTTCCTCTTGTTGATTTCCTATCGCTGTACTAATATGAAGTATGGTAACTTGGATTGTTGCACACTCACGATAATGAATGTCTGACTGAGTTACGCATCCTTGACTTCACACAAAATTGAACTCAAAGGTCTTTGATTCTCGTAGTATGCATCTTGTTCGACTGTAGATTTTCTAACGTGATTTATTTCCAATTTTGATGATCCAAACGTTTCTTGTTTCTATCATATGAGAGTGTAATTTCAGATTTTGTTTCAAATGATTTTCACCGAAAAAACAGTACTATTCGCGTCGTACGTTATGCATGATTGTGTTTGCAATAATTATTACACATTAAACACTAACTTACCTAAATGCTTTATTGTTTTTATTTCTAAAATATTTTAGACAAAAAGTTCACAATATAGTTCAAATGATCCCGAAACTTTATCAGTCCCAGCAAATTTAGAATATTTACAACAAGAACACAATCGTCTAGCAGTACTTTGCCGTCTACTCATTATTGAACGTTTAGATACGTTGGATGAAATAAGTGCAAATGGTACTAGATTGTAAGTTTTTACTTATTTGTTTGTAAGTTGCGTTTCATCATACAAAATTACTGGAAATGTGACTCATTCATATTTAGCTACTTACCTTTTTAAATATAGTAAATTCCAATCCTAATTTCAATCAACAAATCGCAGGTCCAAAATTTATTCTAATTACTTTAGTTTGACTGGTCAAGCAGTATTACATAAAAGCAATGTGGTGGCTCAAAACCGACTACATAAATCTGTACTTGTTGAATGAGTGACATAAATTGCAACTTTTTCCGGACAGTTAAGTACTATGATTAGCGTTCATGGATTGTGCACGGTGTGTAGTTCAGTACAAGGAATCTGTACAAAGTTTCTGAACTAAATGTACAGCGTTTTCACTAAGAGAATATACAGTTCTTTATTAAATCACTGCATAAAACTTTTTGTTGAGTTTTTTTGATGCGAATACTTTAGTATTCCCTCTGTGCTTATTTTTTTTTATGTCGAGTAAATACACCTAGAAATTCAGTGATTCAATGGGTTTCTTTCACCATACCTAGGAGTCTTGCATAATGTTTGGGAATGGTTAACATTTTAAGGGTTGTTGTTATGTCTTGTAAGTTGAACGCTTTATTCGGATCCTAGCTATTCGGATAACCCCAGGCTAGCACTACTCAGCGACTTGGAAGACCAGAGTGAAGACACGAGTATCAGAGAAGCACTTTACTACAAGGTTCAATTATGTACAGAAAAATAGGGGTTTTATAGTAGCTAAAAGACCTTGAGATCCCATAGTAACAGTATGTTAACAGCCAATCAGGACCTTGTTATTTTAGTAGCATAGCTTCTAACTAATCGCTGATTGGTTGGCCTCTTTATGAGCCTCTCTGGAGGCTCTGATAGAGTTTATTGTAAGCCGATCTAACAGTTGTCTTTATTAAGGTGATATTTTTTTCGTCTCAAGTGTTTTGGCGTTCGATCTCACTTTTTATGTAGTAACATTGTGTGGCTAGTATCATAAATCTCAAATAAAAACCTGAGATAATGACCTAAGTTTTGCTGAATAGTTTTAGCTCAAATGATGTAGCCATTAAATTTTCAGTCGTTTGGTCAATAGTTTAGCCCCATTCAATTTTCTTTGGTTTGTATGAGTTGGGTGGTATTGTTAGTCTTCATAGATTAACGTCTCATTTTGTAATATATGAGCCCGTTTGTAGTTCCGTGTACTAAACTTCTCTATGTTGTGAATTATACGTAATCTTGACCATTCATTGCATCGTTCGGTAGTGACGCGACTGGTATATTGGTATAAACTTCTGAGAAAACTTATAGAATAATAGATTTTATTAATTTCCACCACATTATAAGGGTATAGTTGGGGATGTGGAAGAGGAGGAACTTGTTAAATCATTTAGTGTTGAGGATTCCCTACTGTGCTAGTGCTGAATAAAGAAGGTATTATTTTTGCATCCTGGTTATTAGTTAGTGTAGGACACGTACAAAATTACTAAGATTCATTTTTGGATGTTAAAAAAGCCATTTAACAAATCGACCTCCTGAATACGTTTAAAACCAGTAGTTTCAATTAAATATCATAATTCAATTGACCGAGAGATACTTGACAAATCCAACATGCCGAAATAAAATTGAGGTGAAGTTTGGAAATCTTATAAAATTGACATCAGTTTGTAAAGTCACTCACTCACTTTGGAGTTATGGCTGTATAAGAAACTGTAGATTTGCTCCCTCCTTATGATAAGTCAGTAGTTGAAGACGTTGAGTGACATGGTCTGAAATGCCTCGGCATAACACCGATACTTTCATTATGTATCTCCCGAATTTTAAGGATTCTATTACTTTTCGTTTATTTTCCACTCTTTATTCGAATCCTTGTTGTTTACTTTAAAATCCCTCTATTTCTGGTGGATTCAGCATTGTCTATTAAAAATCTAAGTGTTGTCATCACCAAATAATTCTGTTCATTGGAGGAGTGACTGTGGTCTAAGCATCCAACTTTCGGCCGATATGTCACAGGGTCAAGTCCCACATCACCTAGTTCGGTTTGGGTAACTGGGTGAATATCGCTAGTCCTCACACAAACAATGTGGTTCAAAGCTGATTATATAAATTCATACTTGGTACATAAGTGGTTAGATTATATGAAAATATAGTTGTGTTAATTTTCACCTATGACGTTTTACCATGTTATTTTTCTCTTAGTAATTTGTGTATAAGCATGTTATTTTATTACTTGAAAAATCTCATTCATCTGGCTAGTGGTCTCGTTTTTTATTTTAAATCATTCGAGGTTTAAGTCAAGAATTCATTCATTTGAGTTACTATCGCTCGGACACATATCATTGCATTCACCTATCGATAGGGATTCTGTTCATTGATTTTAACAATCGGAAATCTGATCTCGTGAATTATTTGAAATCGTCGTCCATAACAGAAAGCGAGTTCAACTCTTTAACTTCCTGATTGAGACTCATTAAATTTTATCATTAAACGAGCTTCTGAGATTCAATGACCACTCCATGTCCTCTGGTGCGCAAAGTAGGATTACTTTATCTAGCACTGGCCCTTATGTACACATAATATAAAATATGGTTCAAAATTACTAACTCAAACTTGTACTTAACTGCCGATTTACATTATTTATATTCATTATCAAAACCCTGCTTCGGTTTGGGTGTCCGGGCAGTATCCCAGCCCTCACACAAATCTAATGATTTATGTGGCGCATATCTGTTTGGTGCTTCCTTGTACCAATGTTTATGTGTTTAAATAAATAAATTATCAAGAAAATGTTGTCTAAAGTGTTATTTATTATAACCTGACATCATTAAGTATAATATATTGAGTGTGTGATCGATTTATATGTATACATTGCCAATATTATATATATATATATATATATCGAAAGTTTGATTTCCAAGGTCGGTATATTTTCATGTATATTTTTTCGTGTGAAAGTATTAAAAGGGAATCGATACATCTCACCTATTATAATTGATTAGACAGTTATTTGTCTTAAAATATTATTTGTCATAAAGACGTTGATATGTTTAATTTTTATCTATAAAGTTTCATTTTTATATGTTAGACATTGAGATAATTATGGCTCATTGTTGGTGTAAATATGAGAGAGCACTTGTGATTGGTAAAATATAATTCCTATGTTAACAAGGGAGTGGGTTGTTTGTGGAGATTTTAGTAATTTTTATGTATAGTTGAAATCATGAGTCAATTGAAGCTAGACCACCATGAAAAACCTGGAAGCACTGGACGGCCGTTTCGTCCCATTGTGTGACTTCTCAGCAGTGCGCATCCACGATCCCGCCTCGCGAGATTCGAACCCAGGATTTACTAGTCTGCTGAGGAGTCCCACAATAGGACGAAACGGCCGTCCAGTGCTTCCAGGTTTTCCATGGTGGTCTAGCTTCAATTGACTCATGATTTCAACTATATATTAACAAGGTAGTGTTTTAGACAATTAGAGTATGGGATTGTTGAAATAATAAGAGTTGAGTTCGGTTTCAAGATGTTGATTGTGCGACTGCTATATATATCAATACTGTACTCCCAATATATTTTATCTATTCACTTATAAGATCAACGACGTTTATTATTTCATGCAAATGTTATTCTCATATAACTAAAACTCACTATATAAACAAAAAGTACTTTATAATAATAATAGTTGTAATAATAATATAGATTACATTATTGTACATCATATTTATGAATAACTATAATTAAATTTAGGTTTACTAAAAACTAAACATATGAAGGTTATACATTAAAAATCATTTTATTTATAATCTATTTACATAATGAACTTGACCTGATGTTTCAGCATCTAATTTACGTAAATTGTTCATAGTTTTTACTTACTGTAATGGAGAAAATATTTGGGGATTGTTAAGTTAGTGAATGTAATATGCTGATTAATTAATGAAACGCATTGATAAAATTTGGTCGAGTGATTACTACTCAAAAGATGGGGTTATTGACACACACCTCTGAAGGAACTGGTATCAATGACAAGAGAACTAGTCAAAATAATAGGCGTTCTTTTTTATCTAATCAAATCAGTCAGTCAGTCAGTCACAACGTAGAACTTCGTACGTACGTACATCAGTTAGAGTTGCCATACCACATTAGCACAGAGATGCAGTTGTCGATTCAAACCCCATAGTGGTAGAAGTAGTAGGAGTATAATCAGAAATCCAAAAGATTAGGGTTTGAAGAAATTATTGAACGAGTATAGTACAGTGAAATAAATTTGGAAAGAGAAAAAGATAAAGACATGAGGAATTCAGAAGATTAGAATTTGGTAGAACACAAAGAGTGGATGCACCTTCGCCATTGCAAACGATTTTGAGCCATGTCATTCAAGGTCTCTAACCATCGGTTGCTGTCATCTCGCGAATCCCAACCAGGTAGTCTACACCTACCAACATGGCCCAATCCACTTGTCAGTGACTTCATGGATTTGTGCCACGTTTTGGTCTGGCCTCCCCTAGAATTCTTCCAACCTACACCATGAAACATTGCACGTCGGGGCAGTCGGTGGTTGGGCATACGTAACACATGTCCCAGCCATCTCAACTGATGAAGTTTCACTACTTCATCAATCGATTTGCCATCCCTACCTAGTACTCGTTTCCTAACAACTGCATTACTTACTCGGTGGTCCCAGGATATACGAGCGATGCTTCGAAGACACCTATGATCGAACACTAGTAGCCTACGAATATCCTCTACTCTTACTGGTCATGTTTCACTGCCATAAAGTAGGACGGAGCGAACTGCTGCACAGTAAACCCGTCCTTTGGTTGCTAGACGGATATCTCTCCTACGCCATAAATGACGCAAGTTGGCAAAAGCTAGACGAGCCTTCTGTATCCGTGCTGAGATTTCGTCACATACCAGACCACAAGGGCTGATGAGACTCCCAAGATAAGTGAAGTGGTCTACACGCTCAACTACTTCACTCCCTATCATTAGTTCAGGTGTCGCTGCAA